TTTGAATAATCACTTATAGCCGGATTTTTGATTAGAAATTACAAACTAACAGCTACTATTATCACTTTGCCATGTTTATTCTATAGTGATGCACTTTCTCAATAAATTCACTAAAACAGATATAGTCAAAAGAAATTCAAAAGATTTTGATTATTTTTTTAATAGGACCAAGTGACGGGACGAAACAAGTCGCCCACCGGGTGATAAGGGACACGCCTATCCATAACAGTTGCAGTACCAAGCAGTACTTTTAAATCGCAAAGATTTCGGGGGCGTTGCCACTGCGCCCGTCACCCTGAGATACCCATAGTTGACAAGTCTCATGTGCCTGTACCGGAAAGCAGTAATGCTCACATTACCGCTTGGAGGCAGAAATACGTAAAGTGGCAGTACTTCACCGGGCGAACTCTTTCACAGGGAGCTCTAATGCTACTAAATTTACCTTGATGCCCTATTCAGTAAATCAGTGAAATTCACTCCCCTTAGACACTATATTTATATCATTAAAAACTAGCAAAACGAAAGGACAGTCACAGACATTATCATTAATTAAAAATCGAATATCACTGTATTAGCACATATAGAAAAGACTAGCGACAAAAGAAGTCTTTCTCTTTCTTCTTTTTTGCCTTTTTTATAGCTCTGCACTAAAGAAACCCTGTATCGCGGGTGCCATGGAGATACATAGACAACCACAAATTACACTCAAACTCACGAGAAAAATAAATGTAGGCCATACAAATCGACTCATCCGTAGAACAAAGATCTATGTGCAAGACTACTTGTTCTCAGGACATAGTACATTTCGTTTTTTCTTCTTCGGTGTGGATGTCAGACCGACCGTTGTTCGATTTTATATTTCCGAAACGAAATAAGATATATGTATAAATTCTCAAAACTAATTTACATAGGCCTTAGTTTGAATTACGAAATTATCCTCGTCTTTTCGCTATGTTATCACATCGGACTCTGTTCTTGGCATGAGTCGAAATATTTCTCTCGGCCCGGGAATCGAACCCGGGACCTCTGCGTGGCAGTCCAGCAAGGTAATCGTTCGGCCACGGAGACAGTTTCTCTAATCTACCCATGTGACGCTACTTAGAACATTAATACTCAATTTACGCTACCGCGGATAGGAATGCATGCGAATTTACAAATTAGATACGATACAATAGTTGCGGGAATTCCCGAGACTGCGCGAGAACTCTCCAGAACATACGCGACCTGTTTTATTAATTCCGCGGGAATGTAAATTGAGATTATGTGCACAAATGATTCTTGCTCGCGCACGCAAAAATGCAACAGAATACAATTTATTCTTACCAAAAGCAGGTAGACATTTGAACCCTACCTCCCAAACTAAGCGAATCAGTGTAATTTTTTAAAGTAAATTGCAAGGAGAATGTATTTTATCTTCGCGCACGTGCTATGCTATAAACATATTTAATCTTTTTTGAATATAAAATAAACTTAACCGCAATCTCATTTAATACTAAGCTATAATGATGTCTACAATGTTACGCGTTTGTCTAGCATATGCCTATTCACTCTAACCTTGAATAGTAGCCTAAATTGTAGCTTTGTTATATAAAAATAACTAAATATAGACACATAGTCCAATACTATAAATACTAGTTTCTTATTCAGCATTTGTCGACCATTGCAATGCAATTTCAAGCCATGGTGGCCTAATCGTTTAACCTACTGCTTCTCAAGTAGAGGCAGTGAGTTGGAATCCGGACTCGCACTTCTGAGTTTTCCGGAATTTATGTGCGTAATTTAATTTGAAATTTTGGACTTTACGATGAAGGAAAATATCGTGACGAAACTTGCACGTCGAAGGCGTACTCTCTAACTCTCGGAAAACGTGTGAAATACCTAACCCGCATTGGGTCATGGGGGCGGACTATGGATTGGACCCTCGCCGGAGAGGAGACCCATGTCCAACAGTGCGACGTATAAATGAGTATGACGATTGACCGTCTGGTCGTACTCATCATTCCAGACGAAAATAAAAAGGATGTGGAAGGACTACCCCTACTTTAAATAAACAATGACACTGAAAGAAGTGATTTATAGACTCTGCAGCAACATTTACATCCCTATAAGGCGGGAATCTGATCACAGGATTACAAGCGAATAATGGGCGGCACACGCCGCTACCAACGCCGCCCTGGTGAAAAATGACTGCATGCCGATCATAATAACAATAAAACAAGCGATTAACTCCGCGTCAATAGGGTAAGCTGTTAGACCATTTATCCCCTTTTATAAGAAAAATTGATGACTGACATCTCATTCGACATAAGTAAACAACAAAAAATAATAAATTAGGGTAACAATTGACAATATACGGTAACAATAGTTACGGATGTATAGGGTTTTTCAACAAGAACTTTGTTTTGTAAATCAAAATAAACAATAAATTTAGATGACAATGATTCTAATTTTTATTGTATTAAAAAAAGTAAGGTTTGGCAATCATTAATGAAAAATGATATCTTATAAACCACCACGACGTCCACCACGACGACCACAGTTACGGATGTCGATTCTTTCATTGACAAAATGGTGGGTCTATTTCGTTAACCACTTCACGAATTTTGAGTTTTAAGGCTGCAATCGATTCGATTGGCTCCGTATAGACTCTGTCTTTAACATAACCCCACAAATAATAATCCAGCGGTGTTAAATCACATGATGGAGCTGGCCACTTAACGGGAATTTCGTGAAATTATGGGATCGAGAAATTTGGTTTGCAATAAATTCATTGTTTCGGTGGCTGTGTGACTTGTGCCGTTGGCATTCATATTAATTTACAGCGCGCGGATTCAGTCTCCTGTCCTTTTCGTTTAAATAACGATAAAGACAAATGCGTTGATCTTAAATTAATCTTAAGTCTAGCATGTATTAGTCCGAAGCGACGCCTCTGTCTAATTATGTTTTGACAGAGTAAAGCACAGGAATATATTTCATGTTACGACCCATTTAAAACGTTTAAAAATCTTGACTGCATTTCGCTAAAAGAATTACAGAAATAACATGTAATAAATTCTTCTTGTAATTTTGAAGCCAATACGACTTTTTAATATTACTTAAGACAATAATAATGTCAATGCTGAAGAAATGAGACTTTTACACATTATGAGCAGTGATCGGCATGAGTAGAGTTTTTTTACCTAAACTTCGAGGAATATTGACAGAGAATGGAGACTGCCTTACGACAAAATTTTTTAGCCCTTTTCGGGATTCGGGAAATCACTTAAATACTTTATCACTTAAGCACATTAAAAATTGACGTCATTTGAGATAGGCTGGTAGACTAATATTTATCTTAACTTACTAGACTATGTTACTAGACTAAGGGTCGTATTCTAGAACTCTACTCAATGCTCAAGTCACGATTTGGGTATGGTTTAAAGCACTCGAAATCATACTCAAGTCCCTGCCATTAGAGTCGTATTTCCAGTGCTTGAAATCATACTCAGATCCTAACTTGAGCGTTGAGTAGGGTTCCAGAATACGACCCTTAGACTATATTTACTAGACTATTAAATATAGTCTAATTATCTTAACAACAAGTCGTCGCAAAGTTAAGATAAATATTATAGTCTTTATCCTATCTCAAATAACTTTAATTTTTAATGTACTTAACATTTGACATTTCCCCAATCCCGAAAACATCCAGGACTTAAAAAATATTGTCGTAAGGCAGTCTCCACTTTCTGTCTCTGTTTCTCGAAAAAACTACCTTTTCCGATCACTGATTATGAGTGACATTAGTCTTAAAGACAGAATGCCGAACAGTGATTTTAAGAGAGCGGAGTGGTATGAAAGATGATATAGTAACCAGGATAAAGATCCCCCATGCTTACATGGTTTGGTCATGTAGAAAGAATGACGTAGGTAGATTAACGGCACAAATTTTTCGAGAGAAAGTGGATGGTGGCGTGGGCAGAGGTCATCGAGTATATAACCAGAAATAGAGACGAAATAAGGGCCATATATTCCTGGTGACACATTAGCGATACAGCTTTTATAAATATCAACTTTCGTTTGCACTGAAATATAGACAGGCCAACTACTGACCTGTGTGTACGTCTCCGTATATTCCAAAAAATATTCTATATTTATTGTAATAAGGATAATATCTCTAACAATGCCGCGCTGTTCTATTCGGTGGTGTGGGAAAAACAGCAAAACATCTAATAACAAAACAAACGGAATCTCATTTCATCGGTAATTAAATATTAAATATGTAATTTTGCAATTTTCGTCCATTATAGGAAATCTCAAGTTAACTGGTCGATTTGAAGTGAAACAATTGACGACACCCATTGACGATACCCACAAACAATTGACGTTTCGAACTCGGACTAGCCAATCGGAGCGCAGTTGTCACAGTAATGATATGGCAGAATAGTTTTCATACAAATTAAATGACATTTCGTCTCTATTTCTGGTTATATACTCGATGGCAGAGGTAGACATCGGCGTACATAACCCAATCACATTGGGGATGTCATTGGATTGTGGAAAAGTACCAAGAATAAACGGGCATGTGTGAAGAGACTGATGGGAGTGGAGGTTGGTTGGAAGTTTAGTCAGGAGCGTAGCAAATGAAGGTCCATAGTCTCTGCCTGCCCCGGTGGGAGACAGCCTTGATGATATGTATGTGTGTATGCTGCCACCGTTAGTTGAACGGGCGCTTGTGACAAAAATTCATAATCGAGAAAATAATGTTTTAAGAAATGAAATTAAAACTTTTCTCTTGTGGCAACTTCATACTTTATCCACCTAGAAAAAAATAAAAATAGTGACAGATTGGCTTATTTTTTACTGGTCATGGCAATACACATAACAAATCTTTTTTAAATGTCACATGCGCCCTTTCAACTAACGGCGGCAGTATGTATGTAATAAGCTAAAATGTAAAAACTCGTACGCTGGTTCCTTTAATAAAAAAGTTCTCTATTAAATTGTGTTTAAATGATACTTACCGATAGCTCGTGATACAGCTAGTTGTCCGTTGACCCGCCAAGTGCCCCAGTACATGACTGTGCCCCCAGATTGTTCTATTCGATCCCTTTCATCCTGAAACAAATATGAATTCACGTATATTAATATAAAAAGCCGTGGTAGCTTAATGATTTGACCTACCGCCTCTCATGCAGAGGCTGTGAGTTGGAAATCGGGTTCGCACATCCGAGTTCAAATCGACGCGGCGAGAAGCGCGGCCTTGGAAATCTCGGGCCCTGGGAAGCCTGTATAACGCGGATGCCATGAACATACACATAGACAACCACAATATGTAAGGAAAGAGACGGCGTGGGCGGCCGTGAAGGCGTTAGCGGGACGATCTTGATGGGTTTGAGCAAGCGTGGTGGGAGATCGCCAAAGAGGGATCAATGGAGGATTTTGGGGGAGACCTTTGCCCAGCAGTGGGACATAATAGGTTAATAAAAAAGTATATATACGTAAACGGCGTTCCGGCGTCACACACCTCCGAAGAAAACAATCCTTATGATTGAGGCTTTCGATCAGTATAGTAATATTACAGGTGTTTTTTTGTAAATTTGGCGGATTCGATTCCCGGCACAAGCAGGCGATTATTTAAAAATATTTGAATGCAGTTCGAATTGTTTTTAAAATCAATATGAAGTCTTCTTTCTTCGTGTGGCATAGCCTTAATACGCCCTGCATATAACCCACTTTTAATTTCTTACAATATTATTTTGTACATAATTATTATATATTTGGATCATATATAACTGCTAACATATAAAATTAATTTGTCTAGATTTAAATCCCTCATTATATTCAATATGCATTTCAAGGTGCTACATCACTTTTATGCTAACAGCGTCATATATGTCCTATAAGAGCGGAAAAGATGTAATTTAAGTGTCAGCTGACCGAGCGGAAGCGAACTGCGCTACGTCTTTTTCGCTTTTACTGCATGGACATAGAGCTTTTTCAAAACTTTTAGTTTAAGTGTGTTAGATAGATACAACACTTAGCGAATTGGGAGATAGTGTTATTTTCAATCAACCTGATGCCTCCTAACGGGGCATTCGTATGGTTAAAATAAACAACTCTGTTCTATTTTTGGAAATTCAACTGTTAACACAGATCGGGTTGTTCACCTCTAAATGAATTCCAGAAACCAAATTTGGTTTTACGATGAAAGGTAGAGAGAGTAAAAGTATTTTGTTTTGAAACATAATCTAGATGTAGCGTTTATATTCAGCGCGTGAGGTGTTAATAAGAGGTGCCAGAACATTGGCATATTACGCTTCCTGTTGGCAAGGGGCCAAACTTATCATTTATTTACACTTTGTTGCCTCGACAGGTATGTATATCAGCTTTTTGGGTCATGAACCTACTCGTTATCATACTATTGTCGCTAAGAGTTATAAACTCGGCCTTGCACACATACAAGGTGTCACAAAAATACCATTATACGCCTGATGATTTTACCTATGATAACGAACCAGATGTTATAAAAGAAATAATTAAAAATCGCGAAATAAATATTGTATTTTACCGTAATGTCAGCAAGTGGTATTGCACTTAAATATTTACAAATTCGCGTTGCATAAAAATTAAAATCACAGGCACATGCCATCATAGGGATTCGAACCTTCGACCTCTCAATAGGGTGTACGAAAGGAGTCTTTCCCGCACGACGCACCCCTCCTTTTCTGTATGAAAATAGATGTATTTAATGGTAGTAAGAACACTATGATAATCAATAAAATAAATAAAAAGTACATTTAAAAAATAACATAATATGCGGCACTAGCAAAAATATACCATCATTTATTTGCCTGCTACCAATTATATTATGAATCTATAATATAAACTCTATTTGATTCTTTCAGAAGATTGATATTACGTCTTTTATTTCAGACGTATTCTTTTTTTAAATTCACTTCGTCAGTTTCCCAAAAACGTTCCTTTACGAATTTCGTCATTTTATTATAGAGGGCGCAATGTGATCTATTGTTTCTAAGCTAATCGGGTATCAAACTTCTTCCTAAACTAAACTACAGTGTTACATAAATTTGCATATTATATTCAAGTCCAACTTTGGGAACTATTCGAAATTTAAGTTGACGATGGAATTGTTATCTTAGATCGATGATTCCCGAAGTGGTCTATATCTCCCTCCCGGAGTCCATGTCAGCGACAAATAAGAGGTGTATGATACGTAAATGGACGTCCACAAGAATGGAACGCGTTTAGGCCGATCGTGATCATAATTTGGTTTTCCGTTGTAAATACATAATACTCTCTTATAATAGACATAAAATACCTATGAAGTTTTTAAACATTTCACATCAAATATAAAAAACGGTTATATAAACGTATAAACCTTGAGATCTATGCGTTTTATTTTTAACTGACTTCAAACAAAGGAGGCGGTTCAGACTGATATTTTTTTATGTATCTATCTTGATGAATCTTTTTTTGTTGGAAAGGGGGTACCTTAGTATCCTTTTTCCTTTTTTTTTTAAATTTGAAGAAAATATTCCACCTCTAAGGGTGGCAATCTAGAGGATAGCTTTTGAGGTCGTTTTGTAGTGCTCTGTACTGAGATTATTTTGTAAAGTTTTTCACTAGCACTGTGTCAGCTCCCAAACACACATTTGAAGTTGACGAGGTTGTTAAAAAAAAAACAATATTAGAAAGGCAGAGGTTCTACGCAAAACAGAAAAATTTAACACGACTCGTTTATTTAGTGCTACATTGACCTCATTATAAATTTTGACAAGATTGATTTAACTATGTCCAAACATCTGTAACAAGTGTTTATTTACGTTTGAAGAAAAATTTGCAGAAATGTTGAAATTTATACGTATTATAAAAATACAAAAACTTTTATTAACACGCCATTTTAAAATAAACATAAAAAAATCTATTCAATTGTGTCAGTGTAGCACCAAATAAATGAGCGAATGGTCTACCAGACAAAAAAGTTTGGGAACCTCTGACTTCGATCATTCTAATGTATTATTTGACATTATAATTTTCGCGTCCATCATTACGGTACTGCAAATCAATTTTAATCTTGTGGTTCAGATATAAGGTTTACATTCCACAGTTGTGGTCATGTTGTGAAGGTTACACAGTGACATTCTATATTTGTATTATCGGATGATTTTCTGGTAAATACGTTGGTATCGGAACATCGCAAAAGTAATTAAGTAATCAATGAAATTTTTACCTTATCCGTTTAGACATAAGTTTAATATTTGAAGTGGTACCTGTCTTCCAGGTTTATGAGGTCTGACAAGTTGCATAAGGCGCATGCGTTTTGCGAGTAGAGCGAGAGAGTCCCCCGCCCACGCCGCGAGTAGCTTTCTGCCTCGAACTGTTACTGCCACCGCTGTGCTACCGCCGCAGGCTCGCTGTAATTTAGACATTACGATTTTTATTTATAATTAGAGGTGTAAATATTTTTAGAGAGTTTGCTAAAGTTGCAGTAGAACTCCCTGTGAAAGAGTTCGTCCGGGGAAGTAATGCCTCCTTATCTATTTCTGCTGCCAAGCAGTAATGTCAGCATTACTGCGTTCCAGATTTGAAGTGTAGGGTGCTGGTGAAATTGCAGGCACGTGAGACTTGGCAACTAATGTCTCAGGGTCACGGGCGCAATGGCAGTGCCCCTCAAATCTTTGCGATTTAAAGGTTTAAAGCTCTGAGTGGCACTGCAACTGTTATGAACAGGCGTTTTGCTTACCACCAGGTGCACAACTTTTTCGACTCGTAACTTGGTGTCAAAAAATTCTACTAATATTAGTGGACTCATTAGCCCTCTTAGGTTAGCAAACTGGGCGATTAATAAGGAGGCCTCATTTCGATACCCGACTTAAATTTTTCTAAATTAGTTCTAGTCTGAATGTCTTTGGTAATGCATAGTCAATTTCGATTTCTGGTAATTATACAAGAAATCCTCTAGTTCGATAGCAAGGTAATGGCTATAGTTGTCTGTTACATGTCCAGCAGAAGTTTTAAACCTAGGCACAACCTTACAAGGCCGAAGGCAAGCCATCGTCCAGGGAAGTACTGCCACCTTACCTATTTCTGCCGCCAAGCAGTAATGTCAAACATTACTGCATTCCAGTTTTGAAGGGTACTGGTGAAATTACAGGCACATTGGACTTGTCAACTTGTGTCTCAGAGTGACGGGAGCAGTGGCAGTGCCCCTCAGATCTGTGCGATTTAAAGTACTGAGTAGCACTGCAACTGTTATGGACAGGCGTGTAGCTTATCATCAGGCGCACGACTTATTCCGTCACTTGACATTATAGAAAAATCAGTCGTCTTACGACACTTACAAAAACCATACTATTGGCGCGTAGCAAATGGAGGCCCGTGACCTCCGGCTATCCCATGGAGAACAGGTGTAATGGTATGAAAGTATGTATGTTGTAATCGAATATCATACCAACCAAACCACCCATAAACCCTCATCCAGCAATGAGAGAACTAATAAAAAAAATAAACGTCGCACCTCTTGGTTACTCTTGCGCACGAACTCAGTGTCAGTACGCAAAAATGCTTCTCGCATGGCGCGCTGCAAGTCCTTGGTGAAATGAGCACTTTCCACCAGGTACTGATGGAGGTGAGCGGCGCAGTATGTCGCTGCTGCCGAGCCTGCGTGACCGTCGTACACTGCATAGAAACTTGTGGATTCTGTCGTCTGGAATTAAGTTATTTTACACATTACTTTAAGACTCAATTTACATTCCACATTACAAACTAGATTCGAGCCAAATGGAAGGTCAGGCGTCTTCCGGAGAATTCTCGTAAAGCAACCGTATCGCATCTAATTTGTACGTTACACAATCGACATAATGTTCATTATGCTACTAGACCTTAGTACTGCAGTGAAACAATTGGTCTGGTAAAAACATATTACAAAATAATTATAACTTTTTTTATTAAAACCGACCTCAACAGTGCGTGCATTTACATCTATTTGCCAAGTTTTATTGACATCGGTTACCAGAAAGTGTGCGAAATCGGTTTAATCAACTAGTTTGCCACCCTTATAGGTGAAATATTTTCTTCAAATTTAAATGGGACTAATACTCAGGTACTTATAGTAACTAAAAAAATCCTCAAAATCGGTTCACAAATGCCGGAGTAATCGCTTATATATACACAAAAAAATACAGTCGAATTTAAAACCTCCTTTTTTTGAAGTCGGTTAAAAAAATAGTAACGATAGCAAAGTCCAGATAACACTAGTGTTTCAAGCCACGGTAGCAATTTAGTGTGCGGCGTCATACATTGGCAAAATAGTAATTACGTTATCCTTGTTGATTTCGAGGTTGGCCAGCTTAGCAGCTGGAACTCTGATTTCACAAAGTTACAATCGCCTGCTAGATCCAAGATGTTATTTTTTTCCCTTCACTCCCATAAATCCAAATTAAACTAACCTCAATTCCAAATAAAGCCTCCAAGTTCCCAATTTCAACGTGTCGATCTTCCATAACACGTCTGGAATTCTTAGTGGCGCAGGATACTGTCTTCATTTCGCGTTGCGCAAGTGGCGGCGGGGGCGGTAAAGAGTCTAAACGCGAGTTGTCCAAGTATCTTAGGCAGATTTCGTTGACACGGGCTGTCACCGCTTGCATTAGCCTTAGGGCTATATACACTAGAATAAAAAAAATTGAATAGGATTAATTGTAAATAAAACCATGCAAGAGTAGATCGGACTATTAACTGGCGATTCCGGCACTACCGCTACCAGTCGCGACATGGTTCAGTACAAGGAGTCTATTCTCGTTCTCCGTATTTCAAAAAAAATAAAGACAATGTCAAGTATGAAGCTTTATTTGCGTCAGGCGTTTTTAAGTTTGGTCGAGTATTACTTATTTCTGTACGTTGCAGAGAATGGAGAGGTGCTCCGCGAAATCGGAAAGATAGACGCTCTGGAAATGTGGTGCTGGAGAAGAATGCTTGGGGTATCGTGGACAGACTTTCGTTCAAACGCCTCCATACGCCAAGAACTTGGCATCAAGCAGCGTCTGTCTTCTGAGGTGCAAACTCGCATCCTAAAATTCTTCGGTCACGTCTCAAGACGGAATTTTGACTCCACAGATCGTCTTGTCGTGCAAGGCTGAGTGGAGGGCACTAGATTTCACAGTCATCCATTCGAATGACCGATCAAATCAAATCTGCAGTGGGTGGTCCTTTACTTGAGTGCTCGAGGGAGTCCACTAACAGAGAGAGATGGCGAGATGTCGTGAGGCAAGCCTCGTCAGCCGTTAACAAACGTACTCCATGATGATCACGACCACTCTGTCAAGAGTGATACGAAGGAGAAGGAGATTACTTATTTTACAGTAAATGTTGGACAGACGTCGGATGGTGAACGAGAGTACAGGGTCAATTCGGTTCGATTTGTCGGGGTGTCGGAGACACTGGATCATTGGGCTCAAAGGGCCTATTATGATGCCGACATTGCTTACATAGTGCGGTTATCACATTATAAGACATTTTTCGTGAATGAAAAGTCGACGTTTTCACTTGACATCTTTTAATCATCCAGTCACAATGACAATGTATAACGTTCTATGGGATTCTCATGTGGGGTAAAGCGGCAGACATAAAAACCATATTTGTAATTCAAAAACGAGCAATTCGTTCTGTGTACCGTTTAGGTTCTCAGGTTTGTTCCAGAGAAACGTTTAAGGAGACTGGTATCATGACTGTGGCATCACTGGACATTTTCTCAAATATTTTGTATGCCCGTAAAAATGTACATAATTTCATTAAGAAAGAAGATGTCCATATATTAACCTTAGAACTAAGTCCAAACCATAGTACCACGATTTTGTTTAACTAAGGTAAACGATTGTTTTATGGGAACTGTATGTACGTTTTTACAATAATATTCCGGAGCAAATGTCAAGATTATCATTTCCTAAGTCTAAAATCTATATTAAAAATACTACGAAATTGACGGCGTGTTAGATAAAGATGTATGGACCACACGATTTTAGATTCCACTTCAATTTGATTCAAAGTGTATTCCATCGGATTTAAGTTCATTTGAAAAGAGCAATCCCTTGAGGTTCTTGCTTGTTCTTCTCAAGGAAATCAGCACAGTGAACGAGCGTTAGCTTAAAAAAAATGACGTTTTTAAGTGTAAATTTATTATTATTTCCTTAATGGCGGCCATTAGGCTAGAGCCAAAACTATTTTACCTATAAAATAAATTATTATTTAAATCTGACTTTGGTAATAGGAAATGGATTTAAAAACGAAGGAGTCCGTAACATGTGGTTTGGGTCAAAAATGTTCACGTCCACATCAATAAATATTTAATTTTTTTAAAGTGTGGACTACAAAGTAATGAAGTTATTTTTTGTTGACTATAAAACCCTAAACAACACGTAACCAAATGATGTTAGACAACCATTTCCTAAATTAGAGCTTAATTGACTTAAAGTATAAGGAATGTCTGTAAAAAATTGTACACTTCAACTACACCTACAATAATAAAATACTGAAGTTAATAAAAATATTTGTTTTCGGATTTAATCGTGTATATTACTTTTTCAAACGAACCAACGAACGTTTCAGACTCTTTACAGGTCACTTGATTACGGCTGACCCTATAAAAAACCCCAAAAGTTTCTTAAATTACGTATCTTAAAAAAGTATACTTAAAATGTTTAAGACGTAAGCATATAGGCCGTCTTATAAATTCTTTATTTCACTTTAAGATTTTTCATCTTATTTGAAATTTAAATGTGCTCTAATTGGTTTACATTAACTTAATTAAACTTATAAAACTTTAATAACATTACTATAATAATATACATATAAGTTTGTTTTATGATTTAGGTACCACAAAATGTACATGCATAGGAATTTTTTCCATAACCAGTTTCTGTGGCTACGGCAAACCACAATACTCAGTAAATCACATATAAACAATATTTAACATGTTTCTATAAATTTAACTTATATTTTTTTAACCAACCGACTATCTCACGAACAGTATTACATCGGTGTTACTATATAAAAAAAACCTACTTTAGCAGTGGTACCGATACCATAGATTACTTTAGGTATTCCGATACCACAGATTTAGAACAAAATAGATACCCAAAATAATAAAAAATTACTTAGGCTTATGTTTGAAAAGCACTTTGTTTAATAAAAACCATCGTAAAGTCTTCAGTGCCAAATATATCTCGAATTTTCTAACATCCTTTTCACCTGCTGCCTTGACTCTGAATTGGGCACGGTCATCGAACTAACGCATTGTATAATATATACATTACATTGTACACAATGTTATGCGTATGTAAACATTACGTAATGTGAAACGTGTTTATAGGACCATCTGTTACAATAGAAAATATACGACAGTTGCATTGAAATAAAAAGAAGGTCAAGTGTAACCTGTTCAATGGCTTTAATAACAAATTGCTAATGAAAATGCTTGTAGTATTTTATACATATAGTTTATTATCGATTTTTATATATTATATTAGGCAACATCACATGCCTACGGTACTCTGACCCCAGTAAATAACTAAAGCACTTGTTATGGAAGTCGGAAACAAGACTGTACCACAAACACCCAGACTCGAAAGATTATATTTTGATATGGGGGAATGATTACGGGGATATAGAAAGTTAGTTTTTCTATATTGACCTGGCCGGGATCGTACCGGGAACTCAGAGATGGCGACACTATGAAAACCGGTGTACAAGCCACTCAACTACAGAGGTCGTCAAAGTCGATTTTTAACATTTATTATTGATAATTATGCCATATACAATCAGAACTGCCTGTGACTATACCTATAAAAATTATACAATGTACAATTTTGTATTTCAAATTGTACAGGGATCACAGTAAAAGTAACATTTTTGTTACAAATATTTTACGCGGTTGTTAGCGAGTACTACTTATTATTGTCAATTAGAGAGACCAGGGCACTCCAACCAACAAAAGAACTCCCTATCGTCACATCGACACCAGAATCAGTTTAAGGTGTCGTTGCACAAGTTTTTTCTAGCGCGAACCGCTGGGCCACGGATGTGGCCAAAGTATTAAATACGCATTACGTGAAACGGACCATGTTGCAAAATTTAAAAAAAGAAACTTATTTTGTTTGACAATAGGAACAACGACTGTGTGCCACCCTGTCAAAAGTCTCATGCGCCTGTAATTTCACCAACACCCTTATTACCACTGAAAATCGAAACGATGTAATGCTCATATTACTGCTTGACGGCGGAAATAGGTACGGTGGCAGTATTTCCCTGGGCGAACACTTTCAGAAGGGATTCTACAGCTACTATATATACCATGGTTGCATTAAACGATATTCTATTCTATTGTTATTCTAATACTCCACATATAATACTATACACACGCACACACACATACATCCACTAATTTATTCTAAGTTATTTTAATAATTATGTAAATTACAGCCAAATATAACCAAATAATTCATTTGCAATTGAGAGTAGGTAGAAAGTGTGAAACAAAATTCGACTCCATTATTTTATGTAAATAAGCGGCAAACAAACACAAGCCGCGGTCTATGACGAATACGTCAAAAGCAATTAGGCAAATATTAGAGGAAAATCATAGTTTGCAGGAAAACAATTGTTAATACATGCGGACGGTTCGGTTTTGTTTTATATGCCAATATATTTATAGTTGGTACCTTTACCAAGTTTATAATACCAGTGACCGCGTAAACTAATAATTGTAAGACAATATCGTAGTTCAACCAATTCCAATAGTCATTCATCTTTCATTCATAAGCAACCCATTTATATGTACCACAGCTGCGCCCAGATCACCTCTCAGGCGAGGGTTTACGCGGTTCGAAAGAGTTCATCCAGGGAAGTACCTTACCTATTTTTGCCGCCAAGCAGTAATGTTAGCATTACAGCGTTCCGGATTGGTTAGGGTGCTGGTGAAATTACAGGCACATGGGGCTTATGCAGGCGTAATGGCAGTGCTCCTAAGATCTTTGCGATTTAAAGTTCCGAGCAACAGTGCAACTGTCATGGACAGGCGTGTCGCTTGCCACTAGTCGCGTGACTTATTCGCCCAGTCGCTTGGTATCATCAGAAAAAAATAAAGAAAATGTTCTTAGTCAGACGAAATAAGTTTATTTTTTCAAATTTTGCAACAAGGTCCGTTTCACGTAATCAGCATTTAATATTTTGAAGACATCGGTAGCCCAGCGGTTCGCGCTAGAAAAAAAACTTAAGCCGAGACCTTAACCTGATACTGTAAGTGTCGAAGTTCGCGTTAGTGCCCATGAAATTAACTATATAGTAATAATAGGCGCACGACTTGTTCGTCCCGTTACTTGGTGGCATAAAAAAGGCTGGCTCAATGCAAGTTGAGGACTTTACACGTTTTCAGAGGTTGTAAACGTTCTCCTACATGTTAAATTTCAAATTATATTTCACATATAAATTCCAAAAAACTCAGAGGTGGGATTTTCAATCGTCAACTTCCGTACAGTCGAATAGCCCCGAAGAATACATTTTACTAAATAGTGCTGTAGTAGTAAATTTAAATAGAAGTGTATTATAAAATCAGCTGTTCCAATCAAAATGTTCATAACTAGCAAATATAGCCTAGTTCTCATATTGCCCGCAATA